GAGGTTTATTTATAGGAGTGTACTTAGACGATGTGAAGGAAATTGGTTATTTTCAAGGAAAATATAAATTGCAAAAAATAACTCAAGCAGTAGAAACCCCTAAGAGCCCAGAAACCATAGAAGAGCTTTTAAAGGTTTGTAAGGGCTAAAATCCAAAGCGGTATCAAGCCTATATGGTATTTTTGGTACAGTTATGTAATTTTAAGAAGTGGGCAATTCTCGTGTTTAGTGAACTATTCCAGAGGAGATGAAATGGTGGAAATTACTCCAATTCATTTTATGTATTCTCCATAATGCCAGTATTAAAACTATTAAAGATAGCATCAAAAAATAAAATTCTGAATAAAATTTTGTCAGATGAATAAATTATTAAAGAATAACATGCTTAACTAATGTAAAAATAGTTCAGCATTATTCTTGCTGTTCGTTTCTTTGTATGGTATAAAGGTTTCCCCCACTAATGTGAAAATAGAGCATTCTTATGAAACCTTTTGTAAGTTGAAATGGTATAAAGCAAAGAAGCCGTTACCACTAATTCATGTGGAAATTTTTTGAGTGTTCTCAGACCCCCAAAATAACCTTAGTCTTAGGCTTTTCTGATATCTTAGGGGGCACATCTTGCTGGGGGAGGCATAAAAAAATTGAGATAAAGCACAGATGCCCAGATACAGTTCGAAGCTATGGCCTCTTTATGCTGACATACTGAATTGTAGTTCCTGGGGAAGGAGCTTGGCTGTACCATTCTCACTGCTTGGGCTCCGTGCTGCCTCTGTAACAGATCGCTGCAAAACAAAGGTTGAACACTGATTTAGTTCTTTACTTTTTTTGTAAAAACAGAAACCTTCTTTGGATTTCTTTTGGTTAGCAAAAACAACTAATGTAGGTTTGTAAGTGAAGTGGTATAATGAGAACTTTTGAAAAGCAAACTTTCAGGGCGCCTGGGTGGCTCAGTTGGTTAGGCGACTGCCTTCGGCTCAGGTCATGATCCTGGAGTCCAGGGATCGAGTCCCGCATCGGGCTTCCTGCTCGGTGGGGAGTCTGCTTCTCCCTCTGACCCTCCTCCCTCTCATGCTCTCTGTCTCTCATTCTCTCTCTTGCAAATAAATAAATAAAATCTTTAAAAAAAAAAAGAAAAGCAAACTTTCATAAAGCAGGAGATACCTGTATAGAAAAATAGTAGTCAAGTTTAGATCAGTGTTACAGTTTTTCTTATTTCTTTATCTTTTTAAAAAAGTTTTAATTTTTTATTTAAAAATTTTTTCTTTTAACGGTGTACTAAGATCAAGAAGCATATTAGTTGAATAGCATTTGTTTTCTATATAAAATACAGTTTTGTATTTGTATAACAACACTGTTATTCATAACTTTGGTAGTGCCAACTTCCTTTACTTACTTTTTAAGGTAACCTCATGATTCACAAATTAACTATTAAATAAGCAAAAAAATTACCTCTCAGTAGCATGAATTTATATACCATGAGTAACATAGCATAATTTTATTCTCTGAGTATAATGTTTGCCAGGAACTTTATGGCTGTTGTACAGTCTTTTCTGCATGGATATGATTGAGTACCTGTGTACTGATGTGAGGAGTGTAATGTTGAATGGATACCTATTTTGTTTTGATTTCTACCTTCAGTGTCAACATTCTTCAACTTTGTGCTGGCATCAGTTTTACTATTTTAAGTTTGTTCAGAAAAAACTCAGTTGGTTTACCACAGAATTCACTTGCTTTGCTTGAGAATTTCAAATTTTCCTGGCTTCATGCCATTTTTTGATAAAGTTTCATAACAGTATGGTCTAGAGGCAAAGAGGTGATTTTCATTACATCCAAATGTCGGCTCTTTGCTTGTGCTATGATAAGGAAGTCTGCCAGTGTGGAGGCTGTAGTGATCCAAGGACAACATTTTAAGAAGCACTGACCTAAGGATAACCAGGAATCACTGTAAACATTTTTATATATGTACTCTTGACTTTTTACTATGAGTTTGTATGGGTCCATGTGTTTGTTTGCTTATCCATCTATTCTCTATACACCTGTCAATTTTTGAACAGATTAACTCCTAATATGTCTACTCTGTATTTTCTGGGTTTTTTTTTCATTGAATACATCTTGGATATCTCCCTATTAATAAATGTAGTTTTACAGTATTGTTTTTTTTTTTTTTTAAAGATTTTATTTATTTATTTGAGAGAGAGAATGAGAGAGAGAAAGCACATGAGAGGGGGTAGGATCAGAGGGAGAAGCAGACCCCCTGCTAAGCAAGGAGCCCGATATGGGACTCGATCCCGGGACTCCAGGATCATGACCTGAGCCGAAGGCAGTCGCTTAACCAACTGAGCCACCCAGGCGCCCCTACAGTATTGTTTTTAAAATTGAATAATACTCCATTGAATGAAAATACCATAATTTATTTATTGGTGGACATTTTGTTATTTTTGATTTTGTGATTTTTTTTGTAGGCAGTGTTTCAGTGAACCTGATTATTACCTTTAGGATACATTTCTAGAAGTAAATCAGAAGTTACATACTTTCTTCCTGGTCATGTATAGATTTATATTTTATGTATTATAAAATATATACTATATTATATATAATTATATATGTAATTATAATGTGATTTATGTTATATTAAATGTAAGTAAATATATATAGCAAACTGTTCCTTATAAAGATTATATCATTAGTATATCATAGTGCCTCTATTACTAGAAAACGAAATTTTAAAAATGAAGGCATACAAAATACAAGTCCACATTTTTATTGTTCGTTTCAACAGATAGAAACTTAACTCTGTAAAGTTGCTATAGTAGTTTCTAAATGCTTAACTCTCAGTTTCTGTACGTACATTGTCATGGACTGGTGATGAATGTTTCATGGACCATTAGCAGACCATATTTTTAGTAGCACTATTTTAGCCTAGGAGCCAGTGTAGAAGGGGGAATAGGGGAGACTGGGGTGGGGTTTGTGTCTCATACATATATGGTCATTTAATCCTCTTGCTTTTGGTATGGTACCCACTCTCAGCTGTGTCTGGTATCCCTGATTAAGAGAGTCTGTGTACCTTCTGCAGAGAATAAACCTGCAGGCATCTGCTATGGTGGGGAAATAGCAGTAACCTAGCGTATGGAGTGGGGAAGGGAATCTTAGCATCTAACCAGAGCTCAAGCAATTCTCTCCAAATTTCTCTTTGTTTTAGTTTTCTCCTCCCTTCTTCATAGTTACTTGGTACTGCCAGTTCCTAAGCCTTTCAAAGATTCAGAGTGTAAAATAGGTTAGTTCTTAGCTTTCCCCACTCTGTCTGGGATTAAGTTTTCTTGGGTCTGCAGGGTCATTTACTAATTAATCTGCTTTCCAGCATCTAGAAATTTGTTGCTATTGTCATGTCTCCTGTTTCCTATTGTTAATTTTTTTTTTTTTAAGATTTTATTTATTTATTTGAGAGAGAGAGAATGAGAGACAGATAGCAAGAGAGGGAAGAGGGTCAGAGGGAGAAGCAGACCCCCGCTGAGCAGGGAGCCCGATGTGGGACTCGATCCCGGGACTCCAGGATCATGACCTGAGCTGAAGGCAGTCGCTTAACCAACTGAGCCACCCAGGCGCCCTGTTAATTTTTTTTTTAAGGACCTCTTACAAATATATTTATTGTGTTATAAGTGTTCTTCTTCTCCAGTCTTTTCTGCTTTTCTTAACTGTCTTAAAATATTTGCTTTTATTTCTATTTCATGGATTTTATTGTTGACAGATATTTCTTCTATAACACATTATTTCTTCTTCTTTTTAAGTTCTTTTTTTCTGATTGAAATTTGATTTTGCTAAAGTATTTACTTGAAACTTTATTCCAGAAAGAGTACATATGTAGTATAGTCTCTAAATCTTTGTACATCTAAAATTGTGTTTCTCCTTTACATATGAATTTTCCTGTGTATAGAATTAATTCTTGGATTAATCTATTTTCCTCAGAACTCTGTGTCATTCCATTGTCTTCTAGCATTTAGAATTGTGAGTAAAATGCCTGATTGATATTGATTTCTGATTAAAGTTGGCATTGCTGATGAAAAATCAAATACCTTTTTAGGTAACTCTCCCTCTCTACCTATTTTTTTTTTTTTTGTAGCATTTCATTTTTTTTTAAGGATTTCATTTATTTATTTGAGACAACGAGAGAGGGAACACAAGCAGGGGGAGTGGGAAAGGGAGAAGAGGCTTCCTGCTGAGCAGGGAGCCCGATGTGGGGCTCGATCCCAGGACCCTGGGATCATGACCTGAGCCGAAGGCCAACGCTTAACGACTGAACCACCCAGGCACCCCCGTAGCATTTCATTTTTATTTTTTAAACCCAAAAGTTTGACTAGGATAAGTTGTAAACATTGAGTCTTATATTCTGTTCTCACTAGTAATCTTGCCTGGCATTTGAGGAGCCTTTGATTTTGAAAATTCAGGTCTTTAAAAAAAACCCAAAACTCAAATGTTATTTTTTTCTTGTTTTCAAAATCATTATTTCTCTCCCATCTACTTTGTTCTTTCATGGCAGTATGTTATTAGTTTTTGTGGGGTTTTTTTTTGTATATTATCTCAGGTCTTACTGAAATTGCCAATTACTACTTGATTTATTTTTTCCCCCCTTTCTCCTTTTTCTGGTAGTAGTAACTTTTGTGTAGTTACTATTTTTCATTGCTGGTTGGGGGAATGGGGAGGGGTTTCTCCGAGTGTTCAGGTTATTTTCTTTGTTGAGCTGCTGCAGCTAGTGATGTTTCTGCCTACTTAACTTTTGATGGCCTTGGTAGTTGAGATGAATTCTTAAAGAATGAACCAAGATTTTTTTTCAGTTTTTTAGTTAAAAGGAGGGGGGAAGTTAATGTAACTTTTTCCTGACAACTTAGAGAGATAATTTACTTATGTGGATAAAGGACAGGACTATTAAACAGAAGATAGGCATGGATATAGGAAGATTTATCTTTGCTCAGAAATAATTTCCTCTTTATATTTTTTCCCAACAGCTGGTGCTAACAAGTCTCAACTCGGCCCCTGGACCCAGCTCAAAACTCTGGATTCATTCTCTTCCTTCCCATACCTCAGCTCAAGCTTTCTGTCTCCCCAAAAGGTACCACATGATCTTCCTCTCAAGTCCTCACTTTCTAGAAATCTCAGGGTATGTTCAGGGAGGGAGTGGGCAGATTTATATCCTTTACTTTCTTACTTAGGGCATAAGAGATGCTTATTAAATGCTTTTTAAATGAATGTCCCCTAGTCAAATTCCTCTTTAAAAGTGGTGCTTGGCAGTGGGTTAGCATTTGTTTTCACTCTTCTCTCTCTGGACTGTTTCTTACCAAACACCTTGCAGTATGTGTATGGAATGTTTTTCTAGTTTCTAGTTATTTTATAGGACTTTATTTTTTGATTTGTGTTTCATTGGGCAGTTGGAAGAAGGAAATCAGATGGCTTAAGTTGCCACCTTGATGCAGGCAGTTCTCCAGGTTACTTGAAAGGGCTGGGCATATTTTATGCAAATTGTATTCTTTCAAGGCTTGAGGAGATGTTGGTTAAGTCTTATGAGGTAAGGGCAGTAGTTTAAATGGGAGATTTAAAATCAGTAATCCTTGTTGGTGGGGTAAAGATTGAACTGTAGTGAAAGGAGCATTAGCTAGTAGGTTGGAAGATTAAAATTAGAGTAAAATTCCTCTTTCCTTTTTTTGTTATTTGAGAAATTCACAACACGTTTTTTGCCCATAAGTGGCAACCCCAGTATAATTTGCTACCAGATGTCATCATTGATTGCTTCCACATACTACAGGTTCAACATAGTTGAAGACAAAATAGATTCTCCAAATTTAAAATTTGAGGGTGAATAATAAACCCCAAACTACCTAAAATATACAGACTCCCCTAATACTGTATTGTACATGCCATTCATTAAATGTAAAAAATACTGATGTTCAATATAAATTATTTAGCAGTTACCAAACTTAAGTAAAAGCTAAGTGGATTTCTTAGTAAGGTCCCTTTTATTAACATTGTTTTGCCTGTGTTGAAAGGACATGCACTTTAATGGGTGACCTTTGTGACATCTGTTTTGGCTGCCCATGCATCCTACTTAATTATTTTCTATTCTTCATGTCCTGGAAGGGTGAGGTTGCTGAATGGTTAACTCTGAATAAGCAGTGTTTTAATGTATATGTCCTGCCTCTCTCCTTCAGACTGTAAGCTGTAGTAGGGTGGGGACCATGTTTTTGAATCTTTCCACAGCACCCATCAAAATGCCTCACATTCATAGTAGGCATTTATTAGTGTTAGTTGATTGAGTTATTTAAAATCCTATTTTTATACTGGTCGTCAGACTCTGGGGTATGTGTTATCTTATAAGAAAAATTTTAAATTGTGTAGATATTTTGAAATGGAATTGATATTTAAAAATAGTATCAATCTATTTTTAGCATTACACATATATTTTTGAACACATGTAATATTACTACAAGAAGCAATTTCCGTTTTGTAATAAAACCCATGATATAGTTTCTTGATTGTGTGTATAATAGAAAGGCTTGAGTATGGTTAATCCAGAATGACCGCAATATGGTATTCAGGCAAATGGAGAACCTTTATAGGTGTGCTTAAAAGTTTCACCTCTTTGAACCTCACCTTCAGATTCTGGTATGGTGAAATCTCCATCGGTGATTATAATACAGAATGGACACTGTAGGGAATCTTCTTAGTTGGTGTGGAATATCCACCAGGTGTCATTGAACTTTATTCTAGCCATTTATTTAGTTTTTCTTACTTTTGAAGAAAAAGTATTTACATTTTGCTTTAAATAATACAGTAAAACGTTTTAAGTAAAAATTTTAATATTTTACTGAATTAGACATAGTATATAAAACCAGTGCGTGCTTCGGCAGCACATACACTAAAATTGGAACAACACAGAGATTAGCATGGCCCCTGTGCAAAGGATTACACGCAGATTTGTGAAGCATTCCATATTTTGTGCAGTTTCTGAGCATCCTACCACCCTTTGCAGATGAACTCTGAAGAAATGATATGAGTCAGAGCCCAGTGTGTGGCACTGAATAATGCAGTTGTGATTTTTCACTACTAAAAAAAAAATTCAGTAAACTGGTACCTTGCTAATGAATTCATTATCAGTTTAGCATATATATACTTAAAGACTATTAAAGGATGTGTTTTTTAGACCCAACCAAAATTACTGAGTGTGAGAGAGATTAAAAGTCTCTTAATACATAATTTAACTTTTAATTGTATTCCCCTCATAAAGGGTTTCTGAAACAGTAAAGTATCTAGTTACTTAGATTCATTGAAATTTTTTTTTTTTAAGTTTTTATTTATTTAAGTAATTTCCTCTGCCCAACATGGGGCTAGAACTGAAAACCCAAGATCAAGAGTCACATGCTCTACCAGCTGAGCCAGCTGGGCGTCCCTAGATTAATTGAAATTTAAAGCTGAGACCTTTGACTAGACATTATAGATGAAGTTCAATGTGATCTATACTTATTTTCTTTAGCTTATCTAATTTTGTTTATTATTCATACATATATATTTAAGATCACAAAGGTAAGAAAACATAATTCCTCTAATACACATTTTGATATTTTACTGAACCTTCAGTACTCAGATTCCAATCTCAATAATATATTATCACATCTTATTACTTTACTATTTTTTATTCCTTTGCAGTTTAACTCATAATGTGTCATTTCATGGTAATCACATACAGTAATGATAGCTACAATTTATATAGCACTGTACAGGTTACTGTTCATATGTTTTCTCATTTAATCTTTACAATAACCCTGTGAAAGGTAGGGAAAGTACTAATTTTTTTTTTTCACTTTGTAGATGAAGAAACGAAGACAGAGATTGAGACTTGTTTAGAGTAACACAAAACCAGTAAGTGTTGGAATTAATGGTGGCAGATAGTAATGGGTGCATTCTCATATGCCAGGAGCTTTCCTTGCTGCCTTCTGCCTGAGTTCTAGGGACAAAAAGCCAAATAGCCAAAAGGTTGGGAACCAAAAAGGTAGTAGGTAGACTTTAACAGTACCCCAGCAAAATGTGCTATTCCTTTTCATTTCTTTTTCTTTTTCTTTTTTTTAAATTAGTAATGATAACTTGAAAGAGCAGATAATCTTCTGTTATTGTTGTTGTTAGATAAATGAAACTTAACATTTTAAATATAAATTATCTCTGAAGCACTAAGGAAATAGAAAAACTGGAGAGAAGCCTGTTGAATTTCTCACAAGGTAATAGCCAGAGGGTCAGCTAAGGAGGTGAGGAAGTTAATAGTTCATGTGTATAATTGGAGACATGTGTAATTGGAACTTAAATTTTTGTGGTTCTCATTAAGATTTTGTAAATCCTGCTTAAAAATTTTAATATCAGCTTAATATAAAAATCTTAGAGCTTAAGGGTGCTTATCCAATTGTGGTTTTCTTTAGATGACAAAACAGGTTCAGAGAAGTTGAAGCTTGTCCAGTGTCACAGAGCAGAGCTGGAAGTAAAATTTGTATTTCCCGACTTCCAGATTAGTATTATTTCTCCATCAAGCTATTACTTCTTGGTAAGCTGTTCTTAAAATACTTAACAGGTCTTTTATATCTTTTATGGTTGTGTTTGATCAACATTCCTATTTTGTATCAAAATGAACTTTAAAATATGAAATTTACTGATATAAAAATTCAATTCTTTGTTTGATTTTAGGTGAGTTAATGTGGGAAAAATTCTGGTATTTTGAAGATGTCTCGGCACAGTATTGTTTCCTGTTTAAATTACAAGTAACTTCAGTTTTTAGAGAAAAAAGAAGTTGGGATTTTTTTGTAAAATCATGCCATCTGAACAGAAACTGTTATTTTTTGATGAAAAACAAACTACTTTAAGAAAAGATTATGATGTGAAAAATGAGATAGTAGATACTATCAGATCAGTACCTAGAGCAAAAGTTTCAGAAAGTAGTTTTCACTATGAACTAAAAAATGTGAAAATTGATTTGCCGAAGATAAATATTCCAAATGAAGTCTTTTTGAACCATGAAGTTGACAAATATAGAAAATTATTTCGGCGTCAACCACAGACTGCAAGAAAATCTATCAGTGTAAAGACTGTAAGCTGTGTAGAGGAGTGTATGTTGCTCCATAAGTCTGAGCGAGTTGAAGAAGAGGGTTTAAAAATGTCTGCAAAAATACTCAATTTCAACTGTTTAAAATGCCGAGATAGCACTCGATACAGTCCAAATGATTTGCAGAAACACTTTCAAATGTGGCACCATGGTGAATTACCTTCATATCCTTGTGAAATGTGCAGTTTTTCAGCAAATGACTTCCAGATATTTAAACAACACAGACGGACACATAGAAGCACTTTAGTAAAATGTGACATTTGTAACAATGAGAGTGTATATACTTTATTAGACTTGACAAAACATTTTGCATCCACACATTGTGTAAATGGTAGTTTTCAATGTGAAAAGTGCAAATTCTCCACCCAGGATGTTGGCACATTTGTTCAGCACATTCATAGACATAATGAAATCCATTATAAATGTGGTAAGTGCCATCATGTATGTTTTACCAAAGGAGAGCTTCAGAAGCACCTTCATGTTCACTCTGGTACATTTCCCTTCACTTGTCAATATTGTAGCTATGGTGCCACTAGGAGAGAGCACCTGGTAAGACATGTTATAACTTTGCACAAAGAACACTTATATGCGAAAGAAAAACTGGAAAAAGACAAATATGAAAAGAGGATGGCAAAGACTTCAGCAGGACTTAAGCTGATACTGAAAAGATACAGAATAGATGCATCAAGGAAGACATTCTGGAAACGCAAGAAGATCAACAATGGAAGTGACAGGAATATAGAAAAAAACACTCAAGTGCTTAAAAAAGTGAACAAAACACAGGCTAAATCTGAAGACCAGAGCCATCTTGTTCAAGAGCATTTAAATGAAGAAAAGGATGAAAGACCACACTGTGAGAATAATGATAAACCTGCTGAGTCAGAGTCAGAAAAGCCAACTCTTCTGTCCACTGGGCAATGTAATAGAGCTGAAGAGGGATCAAATTCTACTCTAGGTTTCTTGAAGACTGCTGTACAAGGACCTACAGTGTTAATGGTGAAAAATAATAGAATAACAATTCCTGCTAACTACAGTGCTGATTTTATGGGATTTAAGATGGTGGATGGAAAACAACATATTGTAATAAAATTGTTACCTACCAATAAACAGAATTTATATTTACCAGGCTCACAGTCAGATGCTGCAAAGGACAGTACTGCCAATTTGCAGCCCCAGACTTTGGACACTACTGGATTTTTAGCAGGAGTAACAGCTGAATTAAGTGACACAGTTTACATGAAAGCAAATACTCCATTTTCATGTTCATCTCCTATATTTTCAGGGAAAGTAACGTCAGAAAAAGAAATGGCTTTGCTATCTCAAACGAGTAATACGCTTCAAACAATGGATGATGATAAAAATGTGTCTTCTTTGTCAGCATCAGAATTGGTTTCAGCATCAGTGAATTTGACCACAAAAGTTGAAACAAAAGATAATATTGACCTATGGGGAAGTTATATTACTCAGAGTCACCCTGAGATATCAGGTGCTGCCATTAGAAGTCCAGATAAAGTCAACTCTACTACCAAACAAAATGCATACAACAGTGGAGATATGCATAACTATTGCATTAATTATGTCAACTCTGAGTTACCTGTTGAATCTTCCAACCAAGGATCATTGCCCTTTCATAATTACTCAAAAGTAAATAATTCTAATAAACGTCGTAGGTTTTCAGGAACAGGAATGTGTGAAAACCCTCAAAAAGAACCTTCATCAAGCAAGACAGTTGTTCAACAACCAATAAGTGAATCAGTTTTATCACTGGTGAGGAAGGAGAGCTCAAATCCAGATAGCATGTTAGCATCTATTAGCCTTTTAAATACTAAAGATGGAACTTTAAAAATGCAAACTGAAATTGAAGAGCAGTGTGTTTTAGAAAAAGGAGAAAACATTGATGGACAGAACTTATACACTAATGAAAATCAGAATTTAGAGAGCATGACTGAGAAATCTAAGTGGGATGACATTTCTAATGTTGAGTCACCTATGATGCCTAGAATCACATCTGTTTTCTCTCTCCAGAGTAAACAGGCATCAGAATTTTTGCCACCTGAAGTAAACCAGTTACTTCAGGATGGATTAAAAACAAAATCTGAGGTAAAACAAGACTCTAGTAATAGTAACACTCCTGATAAAGGCCTGCCACTTCATTGTGACCAGTCATTTCAGAAACTTGAGGGAGAAGGCAAAATAGTTGAATCTTCAAAAGACTACAAAGTACAAGGCATCTTCCCAATCCCATCTGGTGGTATAGGGATTAATGTGCCTACAAATGATCTGAATTTAAAATTTAGTGGAAAAGAAAAACAAAATGTGTCAATATCACAAGATGTGAGAGATTCAGAAAAGACACCTAGAATTTCAGGTATTGGCACATTACTTAAGACTCAGTCAGATGCAATAATAACACAGCAGCTCGTAAAAGATAAACTACGAGCCACTACACAAAATTTAGGTTCTTTATATAGGCAGAGTCCACTTCTGAATTCAGAACCAAAAAAGGCTATATTTGTTCAGACTCCAAAAGGCTTTTTTGTACCATTGCACATTGCTAACAAGCCTGGATTACATGTTGTTTCAGGAAGACCACTTCCATTGGTTAATACACAAGGTGTACCTGCTTCTCTTCTTTTAAATAAGAAACCTGGGATGATTTTAACATTTAATAATGGGAAACTTGAAGGTATTTCCACTGTCAAAATTGAGAGTTCTCAAGCTTGTGGAACTACAGCTAAGGAGCCCTGCAGAACACCTTTTTTAAAGGTAGAACCAAACAGTAATTGTCTGACACCTGCACTTTGTTCCAGCATTGGCAGTTGTTTGAGCATGAAAAGTAGCTCAGAAAATACTTTGCCATTAAAAGGCCCTTACATTATCAAAACATCAGCAAATTCTTCAGTGAAAGCTGTTCCTACTCCTAATACAGTATCTGAGCATCAGGGCACCAAGTTGAATAACTTGGACTCAGTAAAACAGCAGAATGAGATTTTTCCAAAACCACCTCTTTATACCCTCTTGCCTGATGGCAAACAAGCTGTTTTTTTAAAGTGTGTGATGCCAAATAAGACTGAGCTGCTTAAGCCTAAATTAGTCCAAAATAGTACGTATTATCAAAACATACAGCCAAAGAAACCTGAAGGAACACCACAAAAAATATTGCTGAAAATTTTTAACCCTGTTTTAAATGTGACTGCTGCTAACAATCTGTCTGTAAGCACCTCTGCATCCTCATTGCAGAAAGACAAGGTACCATCTAATCAGACTACAGGAGGAGAGCAGAGAGAGCCAGAATCTTCTAGAGATGCCTTACCCTTCTTACTAGATGATATGATGCCAGCAAATGAAATTGTGATAACTTCTACTGCAACATGCCCAGAATCTTCTGAGGAACAAATGTGTTTCACTGACCGTTCAGACACCAGGGTATTAAGGTGTAAAACAAATTGTACAATCGAGAGAAACTTCAATAGAAAAAAGACTTCGAAAAAAAAATTTTCAAGAATTAAAACTCATGTAAGAAGTAAAGATTCTGAAACTGCCTTTGTATCTAGAAACAGAAACTGTAAACGAAAGTGTAGGGATAGTTACGAAGAACCTCCAAGAAAAAAAGCAACATTACATAGAAAGTGTAAAGAAAAGTCTAAACCTGAAGATGCCCGTGAATCATTCGATTTTAGCAGACCAAGGCTTTCAAAAGATTCAGTCAGAACTTTGCGGCTTTTCCCCTTTAGTTCCAAACAGCTTGTGAAATGTCCTAGGAGAAACCAACCAGTTGTAGTTTTGAATCATCCTGATGCAGATGCACCAGAAGTAGTAAGTGTAATGAAAACTATTGCTAAATTTAATGGACGTGTACTTAAGGTTTCATTGTCAAAAAGAACTATCAGTGCTTTACTGAAGCCAGTTTGTGATAATGCCCCAAAAACAATTTATGGTGATTTTTCCAAAAGACATAAAACATTGAAACCTGTTAGTTCTGTGAAAGAAAGATTTGTGCTAAAATTAACACTCAAAAAGACAAGCAAAAACAATTATCAGATCGTGAAAACTACCTCTGAAAATGTTCTGAAAGCTAAATTTAACTGTTGGTTTTGTGGTAGAGTATTTGACAATCAGGATGCTTGGGCTGGTCATGGGCAGAGACATTTAATGGAGGCCACTCGTGATTGGAATACGTTAGAATAATTTACTGTAGTTACCAAGGAAAAGAAAAGTAAAGCTATCTTAGAAGAAAACATGGGTTGGATTACCTTAAGGCAGACATTTTCTACTTCAGTATAGTACCTAAAATTGAGCATCTGAAAGTTGGCTATATTTCCATGGGAGACAAAAAAAGTTTTATGTGTGATACTTGAAAATGCTATTACTGCACACATAAGTTTTGCAAGAAACTAACTGCAGCACAGATGTATCTTGATTTAATTTTTTTAAATGTGTTCTTGGGAAGTTAGGGCTAAAGAAAATTTTGATAAAAGTTTTCCCAATTTAGTTATATAGTGACTCTTAGTAGAGGGTAACGGCTGACAGCTCCATTCCCTCTCTTCTTCCACCAGCCTTATGAATCTGATAAGTGTAGCTCCTCTGAAGATGGAGAGCTCTTTCACCATGAGCTGAAGGAGTTTCTCCTCATTTGTGAAGATACACTAAGAGCTTGAGTAAAGAACTTAACTTTATATCTGCTAAATACAGTTCTTTTGAAGGGTGTTAGGCTCCTCTGAGAGTACATTTAACTAACTACAGTTGCACCTCATGATGCTTGAAATAGAGTTTTTCACAAGTAAATCTTTTTTCTCTTATACTGTGTCCCGTATCAGGAATTGGAATACCTTCCCAAGGTGGTTTTCTTTTTCTAAATGGCTATGTCAAGCATTGCAGTAGATGGGCAGCCTCAAAAGAAGAATTAAACTCTCTTGGTCCAGTTTAAAGTCTGATTAAAGAACTTGAACATTTTTCTGAATTTGATGATAATCTCCAGTGATTCTCTTGCACAGAACTATGCTTATTAAATTGTTTGTACCCCATAAATCAAGTGGCCAATATTTATCTTGGTTTCCATCCATTTGAAAAGTGGAACATAGAAGCACTTCCATGGGAATGGCTTTTCTTGAAAATTAAGAATCACTCTACAGGAAAAATATTTTGAAGCAAGATTAGCAAAGCAAATCAGATTTTTGCTGTTTAATTACTATTAGGTGTCTGAACATGTACACATTGGGACAAACCATTTTTGTTAGCACCTTTTCAGTCTCACTGACAACCCAAAGCAGATTATTTTACTGATTGTTGGCAGTTGAAATGAAGAAGCATTAGTAGTGGACTCAGTGGCAGGGCATAAAACTTCAGGACCGATTCCTAGGGGATATACCCAGCAGGTAGAGTTTTAAATTGGATATTTTCATGATGACAACAGAATCATCGACTGAAACTTCACCGTGTAAGTTTGGATCAAATTTTGTTGGATTATTGGATAATCGAGTTCTTGTATTACAAATTACTGTATAATTTTTGTTATATTGTTACTACAAGTGTTAAAACATTTTCATTGATTGAAAACTTCAGGGCTTCTTTTCTGTATATAAGAAAGAATTTAAACCTGTACATATTTTTGTACTTTTCAGTTTGTTATGTAAATTTTGCACAGAAGATTTTTGACATAAAAAGTTTATTTTCTTTCCATTTAGTTCTGTGCATGCACTAATAAAACTGGTTGTTTAATTTAAAAGGAATATGTAAGACTTTACCCATGTTATTTTCTTGGTTTTTATTTTAGATGTAGAATTTTTTTTTTTTTTTGTAAATTCATTTTTCAGGGATTGAACACTATTGTTAGCAAGTGCCTAAAAGATGTGAAACAGTTTACATATGTCAACTGTAACAGTAGGTCCCAAATGGGCCCATTCCCCCAAAATTTTATTTTAAAGAAAGCCATACATAGATGCTTCAAGCTATCTTGCTATGCACATTATACGTGTACTTTTTTGTGCAGTTTGTCTACTTTCCTAGTGAAGTATTTTTTGTATAAAACCTGTTACAATTGTGTTTCTTAAATTGAGCCTAAGAATGGAGTTGATTGGAAATACACAGTATATATTAATAATGTATAAGGTGTTTAAAGAATGGTAAGCAATGTTAATTTCTGTAATGAACATTTTCTTCAATTAAATTTATCTTAAGTTTGTGTTTACACAGTAATTTTTTTACTGTACTAAAACCAAACGGGAATTTTATTCTAATGGGAAATATTTATATTTCAAAGATGTTTTTTCTTTAAATGCTAGGGAACTATGTATAGTGTGGGTTCCCCCCCCCCCAAATCATAGGTAAAATTTTGAAATTTTGAGAAGGGTAACATTTACCATGAAGTTACTGTACTTATGCCGATAAGGAAAGTCATAGGCTAATGCTCTTTAGTATCCTAACAGCAATAAACTTGAAATGCTCTGCTTTTATGGGTAGATTTATTATAATTCCTTGCCTTCCATGAATAGAGGAGAGAGAAGCAGCAATCTTGGCAATGTTTGCAGCATTATAAAAATACATTTCAGAATAGCCATACCAGTAAAAATATATTTAATGTTGTGATACATACCTTTTGCCTTAAAGTTTTTTTTTTTTTTTTAAAGATTTTATTTATTTATTTGAGACAGAGAGAATGAGAGACAGAGAGCATGAGAGGGAGGAGGGTCAGAGGGAGAAGCAGACTCCCTGCCAAGCAGGGAGCCCGATGCGGGACTCGATCCAGGGACTCCATCCAGGATCATGACCTGAGCTGAAGGCAGTCGCTTAACCAACTGAGCCACTCAGGCGCCCTGCCTTAAAGTTTTAAAAGCCATTTTAAAAAGCTTCATGCCCCAGGTACTCTGGTTAGTACCTTTTCTGATTTGTTAGGTTGTTCTAAAGAAGGCAGACCTGCTTTGGAGGCTCTTTATTGCCATAGTGAAAAATCCAGAACCCAAACCCTCCATCCTTTTTTCTTCTCCTGGCTGAAACTGAATTAAAGATGGTTCTCTAAAATATGAGTATGCAGTGGTTTGAGGTTGTTACTACAACTGGAAGAGTTTTATTTTTGCAATCCAGCTTCTTGGTCAGGAATGTGTTCTCATTTTTTCATACTTGTCCATCTCCATTGGAAATGGGCCTCTCTATTTGGCTTTCAATTAAAAAAAATAATTTAATTTAAAAAAAGTTTACCTTTCTATCTTACTAAGCACTCAGTAGATTGAAATGTAATACATATATTTTTTAATGAAAAACTGTGATTTTGTTAAGGGGTCAGTAAAGTTTACCAGTAAAGAGTAAGTTAAGCTAGTAAATAACTTAGGCTTTCTAGGCCATTTAGTCTCTGTCATAACGTCTTAATTTTGTCATATTGTAGAAGCAGCCCTAGACAGTACATAAATCAATGAGTATGCGTATGTTTTAATAAAACTTCATTTAAAGAAATGAGCCATGGGCTGAATTTGGCCCACCACATTGTTTACTAACCCTTGGTTTAGTTCTCTCAAAGGTCTCCTCTTAGAATCAGATTTTTTTTTAATTAAAAAGTTTGATACAGTTTTTTTTTAATGATGTATAACACTGTACAAAACAAAGTATAAAAACTAAAATAAGCATGTAAATTATCAGTGTAGATGTGTTTAAAAGTGAAGAGAATGTAAATGTAATGAAAAGGATTAGTGGGTAAAGTAGATGGGTCATTTATGTGCAAAGGATAATGCATCTTATGGAAGGATTAAAAGTTAAACAGGTGCTGTGGGAATTTCTGTCCAGGTTAGATGAGAAATAGATACTAGTTCTTTAAGTGATTTGAAATAGCTGTTAAGAAAAGTAATAAGAGTTCTTGGAATGGGGGAGAATGGAGGTGAGGTGAAAACAATATTAATTCCATACATATGCTGATTTATTGATTTTTCCCCCTACTATTGACATCTTATTTAACTTGGGGTATGTCCCCTTTCATTGCATAGCAATTTGTTAGGATTCTTGTTTTCAACAAAGTGCCTTGACTCCATTGAGGACCTTATCTAGTGAAACTTGCTGGAGGAATTTTCGGGACATTATTTGTTGCTAGTTGAGAATGTAGCAGTAGCAGAAAAATTTTCCTATAATGCAGAGTTGAAATAGGATCTCTTTGGTTGATTTTGGTGTTCATTGATTTAAGTATGCTCTTAATTGGATAATTGAGAAGTAGTCAATATCTTGGAAGAGGTGTTCGACAAAGTCTTCTTTGAATTATTATTATTTTTTTAGTTCTGTCTTCTGAGCTTCTGTTAATACGTGCCCCAAATTTAAAAATCTTTCTTTGAAAAGTACATACATTATTGTGATAGTGCAAATATTTGAGTAAATAGTGTAGGAAGAATGTTAATATTAAGTACATCAATTTCAAAAATCGTGATTTTAGTCAATGTTAAGAATGTACTTACTAAAAAAATACTCATTCCTAGTAAAGTCATTTTTAATATGTTAGAAGAATTCTTCCTTAATATTTCAGAGTCCTTTAACCAAAAGTGAAGCTAATGTTTGGAGTTGTGACTGAAATTGCTTCTTTCCATTAAGGTGCCTGCTATCATCAATTACTTCATAAGTTACTGCTAATGTAAAAAGATAAGAAAACAAAATGAAAAACTTGGGTAGAGATCAAAATACTATTTGCAAATGACTTGATTTCAATATTTTGAAAATCCAAAGAAGTACACTGAAAATTAGCTTTCCTGAACACTTAATAGTAATCATTTGGCAAACAATAAAAGAAGACCCATTTATAGTAAGAGCCACAAAATAATAAATTTGAAAGTTATGTGAAGTTATGTGAAGTTATGCCAAAGGAAACACCACAAAACCTAACTGGGAGATACACAGCTTGGGTGTAAGATTAAATATATCCCTATTTGGTAGATCCCATTTTCCACACAGGTGTTCCACAGAAGGCTTATAACAAATGGGAGATGGCTGCTGATTAGCCATTGTATGACTCCAAATCCTGCAGTATAAGGAGAATCAGGGCAGGACAGCTCCTCTTAATAGTGCAAGTCCCCTTTCCCACACAACCGTGTTGCAAGGGACCTGCTCTGGTGGGCTTGGCATCAGAATGGCAGCTTATATCTGTCCCAGCTTTCTGGGGACAGAAGAGCTATTCTGTGTACATTCTGCCGCTGGTGAACATTAGCAGGTTCCATCCTCCCTGATTCTGGGCTATGGAAGATCCATACTGGGAGGTGATAGAAAATTCTCCCCCATGCCCTCTAACCCCTGACACAGCTGCTCTTCAGGGAGGGTCTGGGAGACATTCAGTAAGAGCCGGTTTCCCATACTCAACCTCCCCCCCACCCTCCGCCCAAAACATGCTCCATAGCACAAAGGCAAAGGGGTTCTGTTCAGGGGAAGGTTTAAGGGAGCTTCAAAGACTTGATGGCACACTTCCCATTACTAGGGGCCTAACTTTACCTGGAACAGACTGGAGCAGTTTGTACCCCTGAATATTGTTGAAAACTATAGGACAATCAGCTACCAATAAATAGAGGCTAACAGTTGCTGGTGATACCAATAGATACCAGCCAGAAAGCGTAAAGACAAGATCAGGGAGAGAGACCAAGAGAGTGGGTAAAACTACAGACATCCCTTGTAATCAGAAGTAATGTGTGTAGGTTCAAGACTACAGCTGCTTAGGAGCAACCAGAGGGGGAATGTGAGTTACAAGTCTCTGACAGAATGTAGGGCAAAACTTGGAAACTCCCTAAATAGTGCAAAAAGGCCAAGCCCCACACAGTGGTGAAGGGTGTTAATCTCCCTAATTCAGGGGGCTTAAACACAACCTCTTATTAATTGGTGGCTAGTCATTAAACGATGCTGACTCAGAAGCAGCCGCTTGCTGACCCAACAAGCATAACAGCATATACATAATGGGAGTCTCAGGGAGAAAGAAGAAAAAGAAAACATTAAAAAGAATATTCGAAGAAAACTTCCCAAATCTGATGAAGGAAATCAGGCTTAAAAATGAGGGAGAAACAAGTTGAGCCGTAACAGAGGCAGACTTCATGAATTAGTCAAGCCAAGTCACTAAATAAAAATAAGCCCAGAGTGGACAGGAGAACCAACATGGAGAGATTCTACATTACCTAAAATGTTCTGTTTTCAACACAAAATTATGAGATGTTCAAAGAAACAGGAAAGTGTGACACGGGCAGAAGCAGGCAATAGAAACTTCCTTTGAGGGATACTAGATACAGGATAAGTGTTACGCCGCAATTGTAAATATGTTAAAAGACCTAAAGGAAACCAAGTTTAAAGAATTAAAGTATGCTGACAGTGACTCATCAAATGAAAATAAAAAGATGGGAAATAAAAGAACAATGAAAATTTTGGAGTTGAAAATTTCAATAACCAAGTGGAACTTTTGCTAAGGAGGGTCAACAGTACATTTGAGCTGGCAGAAGAAGCAGCAAACCTGAAGATAGTTGGGGAGAGATTACAAAATCTGAAGCACAGATGGAAAAAAAAAGAATGAAAAAAAAGTCTTCCTCACACTACATGCACAAAAGTTAACTCAAAATGGATCACGAACCAAAATGTAAGCAAAACCATAAAACTCACGGAAGTAAATATTGTGACCTTTGTTTATATAGTCTTCTTAGATATGACACCAAAATTACAAATGAAAAAATAAGAAATAGACAATTTAAAACATACAGAATTTTTATTAGAAAAGATTGAGCTGATCTATTTTACCTAGTTAAATATCAATAATAAAAACTTAGCTTTACACGACTTCATTCCTTCCCTCATGCTGTTATTATCACAAATTACATCATTAGAAGTTAGGTGCTCATCAATTATTGCTTTATGCATTTGACTTTTAAATTGAGGGGGAAAAAGTTATAAATAAAAGATACATTTACTCTCTTTTATAATTACCATTATCAGTTCTGTCTGTGTGTGTCTGTCTTTGAGTTACTATCTAGTGTCCTTTCAGCCTAAAGGACTCCCTTTTGCATGTCTTTGTAGGACAGGACTGCTAGTAATGTTTATCAATGTTTTCTTCCTTTTTGAAGGGTAGTTTTGCTGACTATAAAATTGGTTGACAGTTTTTTTTCATTCAGCACCTTGCCTATGCCGTTACTGCTTCTGGCCTCCATGGTTTCTGTAGAAAAGTCAGCTCTTAATCTTACTGAGGACCCCTCGTATGTGATGAGTCACTTCTCTTGCTGCATTCAAGATTCTCCCTTGTTGTTTAAATAGTGTGATTATAATATGTCTGGTATACATATCTTTGAGAACTTGGAGTTCCTGGAGTTTCATGGATTTGTAGGTTAATATTTTTCATCAGATTTGGGAAGTTTTCTTCAAATATTCTTTTTAATGCTTTCTTTTTCTTCTCTCCCCCTGGGACTCCCATTATATATATGCTGTTATGCATGTTGGCTCTATTCTCATAGGCTCTGTTCATTTTTCTCCATTTTTTTTTTCCTGTTCCTTAAACTGGACAATGTCAGTTGATCCATCTTTAAGTTTATAGATTTTCTCTTCTGCTTGCTCAATCTGTTGCTGAGCCCCTCAAGTGAAATTTTCATTTGTTATTATACTTTTCAATTCTGTAATGGAAAGTTTTAGAATTAAAAGTTCTTTTCACTACTTCTATTTATATTTATTTGGTTAAGACATACTTTCCTTTCATTCTTTAAACATGGTTTCATTAAAGTCTTTGCTTAGAAAATCCAGTGCCTGGGCTTTCTCAGGATTTCCATTGATTGCTTTTCCCCCTGTGTATGAGCCATACTTTTCTCTTTCTTTGCATGCCTTGTAATCTTTTGTTGAAAACAGAACATTTAAAATGTTACAATGTGGCAACTCTGAAAATCAGATTCTCCACCCCCTTCCATCCCAGGGTTTGTTGTTGCCGCTTGTTGTAGTTGTTTGTCTAGTAACTTTGCTGAACTAATTTTGTAAAGTCTGTATTATTTGTCATGTGTGGCCACTGAAGTATCTGTTATGTTAGCTCAATGGCCAGCTAATGATTGGACAGAGATTTCCTTAAACACCCCAGAATGAAAAAATCTCCCAGTGTTCGCTAGGGACTCTGTGTGTTTTTGTGGTGCACCTCCAACACTCAGCCAGGCAATTTACAACTGTGCCTTAGCCTCCACTTTCTACTTTGGCAGAACCTCCAGGTCAGTCAGAGATGACAGCATGAGGCCTTCTCAGAGCTTTCCTTAGCACACACACAGCCCTGACTCTGTATGTGGTCTTCTGGATTCCCAGGAATATGTTGTAACTTTACAAAGCCCTTACAGACATCATTCATTCCCTATCCTGTCCTCCCTAGTTTTTGATCATTCTGTTGCTTGCCTCAAATGTTATCTGTCACCTTAGGCAGCAGTAACCAAAACATTTGCCTGTTAATGTTTCAACATTGCCCCTAGGTAGCAGCTTTAGCTCCAGGCAAGCTTCAAGTCAGACAAAAACTAGTCTTCCAGGAAGCCACCAGACTAGTCAAAACAAATGATTACAATTCTTTGTGATTGAGGTCTGTTCTATCTATTGCCAGGAATGGGACTTTTATCTTCAGGGCTACTGCTAACATCAAATTTAAAGGTGAAAGACTGAAAACCTTCCCCTTAAGATCAGGAACAAGAAAGGATGTCTACTCTCACTGTTTCCATTAAACATTATACTAGTCATTCTAGTCAGGGCAATTAGCAAATAAAAGAAAAAACATCCAGATAGGAAACGAAGAATTAAAAATAACTGTAATTTTAAATGACATGATCTTGTATGTGGAAAATCCTAAGGAATCCACTAAAATTTTTTTTATAATCAATACATGAGATCAGTAAGGGTGCAGAATACAAGATCAGTAGAAAAACCAGTTCTACTTGATCTTAGATTTTAGCAATGAACAGTCCTAAATTGAGGAAAAAAGATCTAAAGTGTCATCTAAATGACTAAAAATAAATTTGACAAAAGAAATGCAAGACTTTTACATTGAAACTACAAATCATTGTTGAAAAAAATTAAGGCCTAAATAAATGTAGAGACATCCCATGTTCATGGATCAGAAGACTTAATATTGTTAAGATTGAAAGACTTCCCAAATTGACCACAGGTTCAACACAGTCCCTCTCAGAATTTCAGCTGCCTTTGCTTGCAAAAATTGACAAACTGATTCTAAAATTTCATATGGAAATGCAAGGGGTTCAGAATAACAAATAGCTAAAACATTTTTGAAGAGAAGAATAAAGTTCTACAAAGCTACTGTAATCAAGACAGTTGAGTACTGACATAATAGACATGTAGATCAATGGAATAGAGTTGAGAGTCCAAAAATAAACCCATTTATGGTCAATTAACTTTTGAAAAGAATGCCAAGACATTTCAATATGGAAAGAATAGTCTTTTAACAAATGTTGCTGGGACAACTGGATATCCATGTCCAAAAGAATGCATTTATACACTACCTTACATCGTACATAAAAGTTAATTCAAAATAGATCAAAGACATATATGTTAGAGATAAAACTATAAAAGGCACATAGGTGTAAATCTCTATGATCTTGGTTTAGAAAATCTTAAATAAGACACCAAGAGCACAGAAATAAAAAAGTAGGTTTTTTTAGAAAATAAAAATTCATTAAAATGAAATATTGGGTTTCAAAGAACTCAAGAAAGTGAAAAGACAACCCACACAATGGAAGAAATATTTTCAAGTCATATATCTAATATGGGAATTGTACCCAAAATATATTAAAATTATAACTCAATAATAAAAAGACAATTACATTAGAAAGTGGTCAAAGGATTTGGATAGATACTTCTTCAAAGAAGATATACAAATAACTAATAATCACATGAGGATATGCTTAACATCTTCATTCATTAGCGAAATGCAAATCAAAACCACAATGAGATAGTAATTCACACCCTTTAAAATGGATATAATAAAAAAGAAAATAACAAGTGCTGGTGAGTATGTGGCAAAACTGAAACTCTCATACATTGTTGGTCAGAATGTAAAGTGGCGCAGAATGTAATAGTTGGGTGTTCCTGAAACTGTTAAACTTGGTTACCATGACACAGCAATTCCATTTGTAGATATATACCCAAAAGAAAGAAAACATATATTCACCTAAAAACTTGTACACGAGTGTTTAGAGCAGTATTATCCATAATAGCCAAAAGTGGAAACAACTCAAATGTCCATCAACCAATGAATGAAAAAAATGTGGTATATCTGTATTATATATTACTAGAGATAAAGATGTAATGTGGATGAACCTTGAAAATGTGCTACATGAAAGAAGCCAGTCACAAAGGACCACATATTGTATGATTCCATTCATATGAAATGTCAAGAATATGCAAGGTTATAGAGACACAGTAGATTAGAAGTTAACTGTGATGAGAGTTGATGGAGAATAGAGAGTGTCTGCTTATGGGTATGGAGTTTTCTTTTTGAAGTGAAAATGTTCTAAACAGATTGTGGTAATGGTTGCACAACTCTCAATATAGTAAAACCCACTGAATCATATAGTTTTAAGTGGGTAAATTTTATAGTATGTGAATTATATATCGATAATGCCATTAGAATTAGCACCCAGTAAAAGTTGGTTAACCATTAGAAGGGGAAAATCGGATGCTAAGGAACACAGCAATGGCAAATGTAGGAATCACTATTATTTTTAGGAGTGAAAAAGAATAAGGAAGAAACTAAGCACTTAGAATAGGGCTCCCAATCCCTACTCTGAGATTCAGACCTTATTGAAGAGGTTGTAGCTGCCACAGGTACATTCAGCTGGCTAACAGTAAAGAAATTTGTCAGATGGTGCAGACCTCAGCTGGTCTGTAGGGGTCGTCAGTTCAGTAGCTGTGAAACTCATTGGAGGATGCTGGTCAGCTAGAGCTCTTCTGTTGTAAAAAGCCTGCCGAGTGTTATAGAAACTCACTGGAAGGCAGTGGTAGCCTTAGGCTGGTCCATAGGTAGTTGCCCCACTGAGTGGCAGAGAAACTCACTAGAGGGTGTGGCCAAGCTGGAGCCTACTAGGTGGCTGAGAGAAATTTGCTACGAGCACTGATGGGCTAGAGCCAGTTAGCAGAAATTGGCCTGTACGGCAGCAGAAAAGCTCAGTGGATGATGTCACAGGCTAGAATTGGACCTGCTAGGTGGCTGAGAAGCTCACTGAAGAGTGATTGTCACTGGACATCCCTAATCCACTGATGGGAAAAATCACACTGGAACCAGGAAGGGACTACCAGTGAACTTCTTAGTGATGTTTCTTACCCTCTTACCAGTGCATTTCTGATGGCCTTGGTGAGTACATTTGTTCCCAGGAACATAATTTTCTGGTGGGTCTTCTGCCCTCACACAATACATCCACACTAGCATGCTTACTTCCCTGTGTCTTAAATTTTTTCCTCCACTATCTTCCATAGCAACTCAGACATTGCATCCTCAATTAGTGAAAATCATCACTTTCTCTAGTCCTGCAGGAGCCACCTAGTGAATTTATACCATCTCCTAGGGGTCTTGCCAGGGTGTTAAATTCTGTATCCTGAAGTTAATAAATTATTTCTTATCCAGTCTTATATTCTGGCTCCTTTGCTTAGCCATTTTCAAAATCTAGTCCTATGGTACTTCCTCAGCTCCTGCCAGTACATTGTGCCTAATTCTTTAATCTCTTTCAGAATTTATTCTTTTCTTACCTCAGCAGGCCTAGCACATCCATAGCCGGTTTGTGCTGTAATTTAACTTTAGTTATTGGTCTAGCAGCCAGGAGATGGGGCATATCCTAAAGGAAATTTCTGTTGTCTTGCAGGGGAGAGGCCTCTGCAATGTCTTCCTACACAGACAGGGTCATAATTCTTAATGGGAGGGACACCTCTGTAGACTCTGAGGGTTTAGAGGAGTCTGGGAAACCAAATAATT